TTTTTTTTTTTTTTTTAGTTTGAGGAAATTCAAAACTCTTCGCGGATTTTTCATTCGGACATTCTGCGGCGGATGGTAATATAAAAAATTTATATTTTTTTATTTTTTTTTATTTTTTTTTATTTTTTTATTTATTTTATTTGTTATATTTTATTTGTTTGTTTTATTTGTTTATTTTGTTTGTTTAGTTTGTTTATTTAATTAATTTATTTTTATTTATTTTTATTACTATTTGTTGTTTGTTTATTAATTTATTTATTTTAATAACAAAAATAAATAAACAAAAACAAACAAAGACGCAGACAGAAAGAAAATTAAAAAACAAAATAAATATATAAAAAATTATTTTTTTATTTTTGTGTGGCTGTTTGTTTGTTTTATATTTTATTTTTTTTTCTGCATTTGTTTGTTTTTGTTTATTGAATTTGTTTACTTTCTTGTTTTTTATTTTTTCTTTATTTTATTTTTTTTTATCTTTTATATATTTATTTCTCTGCGTCAGAGCAACCAAACAAAGAAAAATAAAATAAATAAAAAATAAAAACAAATAAAAATAAAAATAAATAAAAATAAATAAAAATAAATAAAATTTTTTTTTGTTGCAGGATCGAATGGGGAGCGAGGAGAGAGAAGACGAATTGGTGTCTCGTGTTGCTGCTTCTGCTGCTGCTGCTGCAGCAGCAGCAGCAGCAGCAGCAGCAAAGGAAGCAGCAGAAGCAGCAGCAGCAGATGCTGCAGCAGCAGCTGTTACAGAAGCGAAGCAGCAGCTGCAGCAGCAGCTGCAGCAGCAACTGCAGCAGCAGTTTGCTGCCATGATGAAGGAGACAATGGGAGAGGTTGCAGCAACAGCAGCAGCAGCAGCAGCAGAAGCAGCAACTGCAGCAGCAACAACAGCAGCAGCAGCAGCAGCAGAAAAAGTTGCTGCCTCTGTACACGATGCCCGCAACAAACTCCGAGACATATCATGTAATTTAGGGTTTAGGGTTTAGGGTTTAATTAGGGTTTAGGGTTTNCTGCTGCTGCTGCTGCTGCTGCTGCTGCAGGGGAGGGCGGCAGCAACAGCAGCTGTTTTTGTTTAGGGGGCCCCTTGCGGTGTCTATCGACAGCAGCATCTGCTGCCGATATAATGAGCAGCAGCAGCAGCAACAGCAGCAGCAGCAACAGCAGCAGCAACAGCAGCAGCAGCAGGTGTGGCTCAGCTTCTGAAGTGTCTGCACAGCCTAGGCGTTGCTGCAGCTGCGGTGCAGCAGCACCAGCAGCAGCAGCAGCAACACCAGCAGCAGCAACAGCAGCAGCAGCAGATGAAGGCAGCAGCAGCGACGCAGAGTATTCAACAGCAGCAACAGCAGCAACAGCAGCAGCAATAGCAGCATCAGCAGCAGGAGCAAATGATGAAGATACTGCAACATCAGCAGCTGCTGCTGCTGCTGCTGCTGCTGCTGCTGCTGCTGCTGCTGATATACCTATTGATATTTCTGAGTGTCTCATCAGCAGCAGAGATATATCGTCAGACTTTCTTTATATTTATTCTTCTTTACACGACATAAAAAAAGAAACAGCAGCAACAAAACAAATGCTTTGCTGCCTCTCCCGCAGCATAGCAGCAGCAACACAGCAGCAGCAGCAACAGCAGCTGCAGCAGCAGCAGCAACAGCAGCAGCAGCAGCAGCTGCAGCCACAAATATTCAAAGAAGAAGACGCAGAAAGCTTCCGCATATTTACACCTGTTGAGCTCAGCAGACAGTCGAGTGCTGCGTCGCTGCAGCAGGAAGAAGAAAACAGCAG